GAAGGCTGCTCGAATCAAGCCGCTGAGGGGCCTTACAGCTGAGGTCGTAGTACTCCCACTTGGAGGTGTCAATTGATGGCTCCACCCACTTCTTCATGACAAGCTCCATGGTGTACCGCGACATCTCCTCCCCATACATCTCACAGAAATCCTTACAAGTCATCCGTACTTTGCCACACACACCTGTTTCCACCTGCATGTGCATATGCACAACATTATGACGATCAATCGTAGATCTCGCTTTCGCTCCTCGCCGGCAATGTAGACCATCTGAGGTGCCTCAGGGCACGGGCGTTCTGTCTGAAAAACCGAAGTAGCTCAAGCTTCGCACCGTGAAGCGCGACCAGGTCGAGGAAAAGCGCACGCCACGCAGCGACCGTCGCAGCATTTGAGGCACCTGGCATGGTGAATCCAACCTGAGACTCTACATGCCAATTACGTGCAAGTAATTTTTGCAATACATGTAGCGTGTGCTGTGTGTCAAGACAAATGGTGCCGTCCGCATTGAACATCTCTTCTGAGCTGGAGCAGTGGCGTCCCTGTCGCGGTCCTCGTTACTAACTATGTAAGGACTAGCATCAACAACATCTACATCATCAACAATGACACCGGCATCATCCTTATCATCACCCCCATCATCGGCATCACCACCGTCATCGTAACCATCACAGTCATCATCAACATCGGCCTCCTCCTCCTCCTCATCATCATCATCAAGCATCACCGTCGCCACCACAATCACCATCAACCCCGACCGTCATGGCCATCGAACTCACCATCACACCAAGCATAATGAGCGCGATTAGTCTGCCTGCATAGCAACTACAGCGCTGACGACAGACTTCACATTGATGCTGCTCCTTGTCCTCCTCCTGCGGAGATTGTCACACGTGTTATCATGCCCGCATCACCAACTAATCAACATCACCAGCACCACCACGACGATGACTCGTACGATAACAAGGACGACTGCGAATGCAACGACAGCAACAGTGACAGCAACACCAACAGGAGAGCAACAGCCTTGGCACCACCTACCTTGTCAGGCGCTAGGCAGCATGTACGAGTACTTCTACCTACAAGCTCGACGATACCAACAGCATATCACACAAGTAGCGGTGGCGGATAAGAGATCAACTGCAGAAAGGCGGTTTCCTCGGACAGATTGCAATACTCCTTCCCACCTTCATCATGGCCGCACTGGGCCCACCGGGCATGGAGACAAACGCTTTGGGCCCAACTGCTGCGTAATCTCGAGGCTCCACTTTCCCGCCAAATATATAAAGAGAAACCACGAAGGGCTCAGCGCACCCTCAGCCAGGCAAACGCATGTAAACAGATGCGCTGAACCAGGTCGACCAATAGCTCCAAAGCAGTGGCTCGAACCGAAGCGGCTCGAGCAGCCGAACTTGGCGAACCGACCGCCAAATGGGGGTTTCCGAAAATAGGGGACCCTAAAAAAGTACCCTAGATAGTAGGATCCTTATTTTTAGGACCCCAAAATAAGGTACCCTAATTTTCGGAAAGTCACAAATCGAGCCACCCCGCAACACCAGGAGCCTTCAGGTGAAGTACAGTCAAAGAAGCGGCCCCATCCTCCACTTCGCCCTTGCAGCTCACCGAGCCCCATTGCATCCAAATCCGGCCAGTAGAGCTGCCCGCCAAAGAAGGATCTGTGCGGAGTGTATTGCCACTCATCCAAAATGGCTCTCTGCGAAAGCAGAGGTCGCAGTCAAGTAGACCAAAAACATGCCCGGGCTGTGTTCTTGGCCTCCTTCTGCCCAGCAGAGCAGTGACGATCTAAAAGTATGTATTCAAACTTTGGAACATAATGCTACATCATGCGAATGGCTTCAAACATGACACCAAGCGCAATGCTTAAACCATGACACAATAGGCGCGTGCGCATGTGCACACAACAACGCCCGTCCTTCATCTTCGTTCATGACAGTTGGTCGGCAGCCTTTGCCGCTCGGCCCCAACATAAAGACGATCCGAAGGCCGAAGCAACTGCTGAGGGGACAACTGGCGATACAAAGAGCAGAAAATCGGCATGCGTTTCTTATCCACGCAAACTGACGATACTCACCGACAGATGGTCGCCTGACGCACAAGTGGAATGATTGATAAGACATTCGCACACTGCAACTTGGCATATATCGGCAGTGGCCCATGAAAACACCTGCATCACGCCAAAAAACCCACTGCTGTGGTTGCCAACATGTTCCCGTTCCAATCTATCTTGTAGCGTCGCTCGACTGGTAGCCAAAAGAACGAGTGCTTCGTTATGCTTTCCTCCATAACTTAACGAATATGTCTGTTTTTGCTTTTGGGGGGTCAAGGCTGTCGCCGGTGGTCCGTGCGGCCCTGTTGGCCGAAACATTGTTAGCGGCCGCTCTCACTGCTCTACCGAGCGCTGCTGACCCATTTCTGCCATCCTCAGCGTTGGCATCTGTGCTGCAGTGCCGTCGCTGCAGGTTGTAGCCTTCGAACAATCACATCAGCAGGGGAGCGCGTTTCCCATGCACGTTGCCCGAAGGTTCGACCGTTCCGGCCGCAAAAGGCGCACGCACGCGCTGCCGCACATGGACTGCAATTGCCAGGTCCAGTGCTTCGGCGGGCTTCTGTAAGACCTGGCCCCGCTGACTCCGAAATCCGCCAGCCTTTTCGCTTTCGTCTTGCGTGAAGAACTTTGCTCGGGCAGAAATTATAAGGTCTGCGGATCTCGGTGAGCGGGGCTCTTTGCCTTCACCACGGAGGTCTGTGCTCCAGGGTGAACAAAACTGACGATGCAAGGCAGGAAGGGAAGAAAATATGTGTGATACCGGATGCGATCCAAAACCATGGGGGGCTTGCAGCTTTCGCGTCTT